ACACACACACACACACACACACACACACACACACACACACACACACAGTCCGATGGTCCTCTCTGATGGCCGTGGTCCGTCTGCTGTCTCTGTGCAGGAAGGTGGCGCAGCACCAGGCTGAGACGGCGGGCGCCATCATGGCCTTCTTCCTGTCCCTGGGCTTGGCTCTGGGCGCGGCCATCTCCTTTGGAATCCGGGCCTTGATCTGAAACCTCCCGCAGAACCCTCAGTCAGCCGTAGATAAGACCACCCCCTTCATCAACACCCCCCCCCCCCCCCCTCTCTCTTGCGGCTGTCTGGGAGGAGACGATGCAACACGCCGGAGGACTGGAGCCCCTCAGTCCTCCGTTACCATAGAGACTGTCTCTGAATACTGTTTTAATGTTAGTTTCCTCCAAACTCAGCAGCACATTGTTTACGCCTGCCTCATCATGTTCATGGAGACTTTTATTTTAATTTTATACCTCTGATCAAACCGTTGCCAAGTCAGAATCAAACCAAATGGTAAAGATGAGTTTTTCTGGAGGAGAGACTGGAAGCTCTTCCAGGTGTTTTTAAAAGTTGTGACCCGCAGTATTGTGCAGCCCAGCAGTGTTCTTTGATGTGTAGAACTTGTTCAGTCCCTTTGGAGTAGTCCTCCTCCTCAATAATGACAGAAAAATACTCGGATGGCATGTAAATAAGTCTGACCTCAGCTTTTAGAGCAGGCCGTCAAAAGCTGCTGCTTCCTCCAACCAGTCCGTCTCCTTCAGAGGCAGCCATCCATCGGCGTTTACTCGGCAGAAACCTCCTCGTCACGCCGCGCTCAGCTCGCATCAAACCAAAACACACACACAAGCACAGGAAAACTCTGAAGGGAAGCCGTGAGCCGTCACACACCTGCTGAACCTCTTAGGACCGCCGTTCATCAGCCGCCTCCCAACCCATCAGTCACAGCATGAGGGCCGTTTGCATCTGAAGCTGGCCTAAGGGGGGGGGGGGGGGGGGGGTAATGAGACGCCGCCCCGTCAGGGCCAGCTCAGAGCTCGACTGGAGTGGAAACATTTTCAGTCTGTACTTTTGGTTAAGGTTTACCTTTTGTTCTGGTGAAACAAGTTTTACCGCCATGTATTTTCTACACGTGGCTGTTGAAACGTGACCGGGCGCCGTCTGTCGCAGAGCTTTTCTCATTGAAGATGAGTTTTATACCAGGGGTAGTTCTCACCCGTTTTAGTCTTTCACTTAGAGGATTAAGGACTGTTTTTTCTGTTTGTTTACTTGCATCTTTGGGGCCTTTAGATGTTTTTGACGTGTGCTTTAAATGTGTGCGGCCTAACATCCTGTTTTAAGAGCACAGTGACCGGAGCTACAGGAGACAGAATGACCATGGCAGTGTTGTTTGTACTCAGCCTTCAACTTCATTCAGAAAATAAATGTGTATTTTTAAGACTGTGGCGCCCCCTGCTGGTCATTCCTAGAAACGCAGAAGTCAACCGAAACTAAAGGTAACTTTGCTCAAAGGATTCCCACTCAAAAGTACAAATACTTACAATTTCTGCCTCAGTAAAATCAGGGAATTTTCAAAGACCACTCCTTTGTTACAGTTTAAAAAGACAGTTTATGTACATGCATTCAGGTAAAATGCTAACTTAGCAAAGATTAAAACAACTCAGAAACTTCTGACAATTAGCTGTGAGGATGGATTGTTTTAAAATGGAGAAATGAACAGAGAGGAGGAGCCTAAAGAGCTGTGGTGATCATTTATTCTTAGAGTAAGCACTTTATTCAAAAATAAATTACGGGAGATATCTTTAAAAGGCAGACAGACATCGTCTCCAGCCCCGCAGAAACGCCTTTCAGGATACGAGTATTCACGAGTATTCACAACATGCATCTGTTTCCATCCGTCTGGTGGGGGGAGACACTAATGTAAACCTACAGCAGCAACTTATCCTGTAACAACCACAAACTGGTGAGTTTAGAGAGGGAAGAGAACAAACAGCCATCATAAACTGATTCCCTAAAAAAATGTGTACAAAATGTATTTAAATACTTAATCAACAAAGATGCCTGATTTGTAATGTGAGAATGAGTCTTTACAGCAGCAGACTGGCGCTGGAGGCGAGAGATCGTGGATGGAATAAATTCAAAAGAGCTCGGGTTCACGTCGAGCCGACACAAACCCACGTCCTCAGTCGGGGTTCTGTTTCGGTGTGGGGTCCGGCTCTGATGGAGAGCCCTGCTGGTTTCTACCCTAACGCCTGTCCGTTACAGCTGTAGCCAACGCCTGGTCAGTTTGGCTGAGCATCAAGGCTGGAAACGGAGTAAAAAAACAAACAAAACTCAGCTTGTTATAAACAAAAGCCGGACCTCCGAGGCAGGAACGGGGCCTTTTCTCTCCCTCTGAGCTCCCCTGGCCGGAGCCTCGCAACGCAGCGGTCAAACTTACAGCTTAGAAATCTGCTCCCGGGCGGAGCTGCTGCAGCTTCCACAGAAGGCAGATGCAAAAAGGTTTCAAATGAATGTCTATAGCTGGGCTCTAAAAGCTCCTAACTGCATGCACAGAGCCGAATACTGGCAGGGCCCCTACGCCATGGGCCAAAAGCTCCAAAGCCTCAAATTTCTATGCTTAAGAAAAAAAACCCAAAAAGTCATCAAAGATTAAAGGGACAGAGACGTGCAGCTAGAAGCAACCTGAGCAGTTTGATTATACAAATGTCACCTGGAAATGTGATCCAAAGGGCTTCGAAGGCTTGGCCTCGTTTCTCGCTTACAGATTCAGAAGCGCGGATGCATTTGTGGGTCCAGCTGTGTTTTCATTTGACTTCAGCCAATCAGATCTGAGAATCACCTCAGTGGATTGAGCGTCCGCTAGGCCGTTTCCACCCAAAGAGGAGCTAAACATCTGGCCAGTGAGACGCAACGGATCCGTGCACTCTGAGGCGACCCAGATGTTGTTAGCAGCTGCCCACGGCGGCGTCAGTTTTCCCTGAATCACAGCTCAGTCAGTGTGTGTGTGTGTGTGTGTGTGTGTGTGTGTGTGGGAGAGAGAGAGAGAGAAGAACAGCATGGCGCCCTGCAGACCGTCCAACAGGTCGGGTTTTGGCAAAAGGCGGCGCCGGCTCTGCTCGGTCCTCTGGTGAGCGTGCAGTATGTGATGTGAGGCACTGGGGGGCGACGGAGGGCAGAGCACAGCCCCCCCGCAGACAGACGGGGCGGAGGGTGATGACAGTCGGAAGGGGGGGGGTTAAACATAACAGGAGGGTCAGCTTTGGTGTTGAACTAGTTCCACAGTTCTAGGACTGGAGTGGAGTGGGGGGGCGGTGGGACGAGGAGGAAGAGCGTCAGTGGGTCTTTAACTTGGCGTGCTGCGAGCCCTGCTCGGTCAGACTGGCTTTGATGGAGTTGACCACCGTCTGCCGGACGTTGTCCTCCATGTAATGTTCGCTGAGGGGCTTCAAAACCTGCAGCAGACAGGAGACAGGACGAACAGGTTTGTGGGGGATCCGTCACCTCTCCCAAGCCGTCCCAGAAACCAAAACAATAAATACATAAAAGAAAAAGTTTAAAGTAACAAAATCAGGATGACCACGAAGACACCAAAGCCTCCAAACACCAGATTCACCACAGGGCGGCCCAGACGCACAACAGCCTTCACATTCACCAGATTAAGGGGATCAGAAACCGTTTGGCTCTGCGTCCTCATGGCAGACGGTCGTGGGTCTGCAGCTGTCCACACCCAGCGAGCAAACACTAGACCCCAGCGCCACGGAGCCGGTCACTAAACAAAGCTGTAAGCTCTAAGGGTTTGTACATTAGCCGGCCGACCAGCAGCTAGTTGGTGTTCTTGTAGTTGTTGTTGAGAGGAGAGGCGGGTCCTGATGGGGGGGAGGGGAGCAGAGGGAGGGGCCACGCCAGGCGGCTCCTGACGGGCTCCCAAAGTTTGGAAAGCACCTGAGAGGACAGCAGGGAGGAACAGGAAGGTTAAAGGAGGACGAGGCCGACAGGCGGGAAGCACCACAAAATGGAGGCCGGGGGGGTGGTGGGGGGGATGAAGGGCGTTGCACAATACTGATCCAAAAAGAAAACACAAGAAAAAGAAGGTGGTAAACCAGGCGGGATGTGTGGAGCGGCGGGCAGCAGAGCAGAGAACCAACACGCCTCACCTGTGGGAGCTTCCTCTGAAAAGCAGCGCGGCGGGAAACAGGAGGGAGGGAGAAGCGACAGCAGAGGTGAGGGACCGACTGAGACACAGCTATTAATTGTTCTGCCGAGTAATGTTGGGGTGGAGCAACAACAGAGAGACAAGATGGACGACGAGAGGCGGCTGACAGCACAAATAAAAACTGATAGGGTCTCCCCTATCCCCAGAGGTCAAAATGTGGTGAAACGCCATCTGTCAGAAGATTGATCCTCTGCGATCCGCGTGGTGGAATTCCAGCCGGGCGGCTCCAGCGTGTGGAGCCGGGGCCGACCGGCCTACGGCGTCTGGACAGACCCCTGCTGGTCAGAGCTCGGCCCTGGAGGACGCAGGCAGCCCAGAGCTGGCTCTACTCCTGTTCGGACCAAAGCGCCACAGGTGCTGCGGCTTTTTGGCTTTGGAGGCTTTTAAAGCCGAATGCTTTATCAGCTCAGAACAACGGCATGAGACGATGGAGAACACAAACTGTGATTTAAGAGAGGCTGCACAGCCCTGAACTCACAACTCTTTTGTGACACATTTCTTTTATCTTAACCCCACATCGGTACGCCCTGTTCTGTCTAAGTCAGGGGTGCCCAACTCCGGTCCTCGAGGCTCCACTGTCCTGCGGGTTTTAGAGGTTTCCCTGCTTCAGCACACCTGATATATATCATAATCGCACACGCGTGGGAATCAGGTGTGTTTAAGCCGGGAAACTTCTAAAACCCGCAGGGCAGCGGCCCTCGAGGACTGACGGTGGGCCACCCTGGTCCCATTTAAGCCCAAAGCTGGTCTGCCCGCCCCCCGGCGGCTGCTGGGGGGGTCACTCACCTGTTCCCACAGCAGGTCGGCCAGCTGGTCGATGAGCGCGCCCAGCTCCCGAAACTCCCCAGAGTACTTGACGTAGGCCCAGGCGCAGAGCGCCATCAGCGCGGCGCCCATCAGCAGGTTGGCCAGCGCCGCCAGCGTGCTGAGGCCGATGAAGCCCGTCACCCCCGCCGCCACGTAGGTGACGAACATGACGGCGAACAGCGTGGCGGGCGTGCGCGCGGCGTAGAAGATGTTCTTGCCGTCGTTGTGCTTGGAGAAGTTGCCGTAGGCCTCGTTGAGCTCGGCCTCCAGCTGGTTCTGGTAGCGCTGGCAGAACTCGTCGCCGCCCATTTTCTTCACCGAGCGGAAGTGGCCCACGGCGTGCTGGCGGAACTCGTCGTGGCAGCGCTCCAGGTCGGCCGGGGCGATGTAGGGCTTGTCCCCCCCGCAGATCTGCCGACAGGGGCGGGCGACCGGGGTTAGGCGCCCGCCTGCCGGCCGACCGGGGCGAGGCCCGGCTGGACCCGGCGGGGGCGTGGCCTCACCTGCTCCATGCTTTTGCTGTACATGGCTTTGGCTCCCGCCACGGCCGTCAGGTTGTTGGCCTCTGCTGTCGCCTGGCAAACAGGGAGACCATTCAGGCCCGTCCCACAAAGAGAGGAGAGCCCTGAAGCGGACCACGACAGAGACTGACCTGCAGCATGGACTTGGGGTGGGGCAGCTCCTCGCCCTGGTAGATCTTTATGTAGGCCTGCAGAGATGAATAGCAATGTTGTGGAAATAAGTCACAGAGTTCTGGTGTATCCCTTTAAAATCTGAATGCAGCATAATCCTAATAAAACTGCTTTTAGGGAGCTGAAAACCAGACTGAAATACTGTTGAAAAAAGGGCCACAATTGATTGAAATCCTGCAGGACCTTGAAGTACTCCAGAAGATCTCTGCAGGTGACTTTGTTTCCGCCGATCTCCTTGACGACCAGTCGTTCCGGGGCGAGGAGGAGAGGCACCAGGCTGGCCAGCTCCCGTTTAAAATCGTCATCGATGTCTGCGACAGGAAGACAATCACAGATTGGGACGGAGACACTTGGTTGGCTGGTACTCTGCGTTGTGAGAGCGGATTGGTGGGTGTTTTTTTTTTTTCTCTCTCCTGTTTTCACCTCTCAGCCTGCCGTCAAAGTACGGGTTGGTGGCCACCTTGAGGCCAGGATGTGGAAGCAGGAAGCAGCCGATGTTGGAGAAGCAGGAGTGGATGTGCTTCCGGACATTCTGCAGCTCCTCGTGCTGGTTCTGTTTGACCTGCGTCAGCAGCACAGTTTTCTTTGAGCCGCGGCTCTCTCACCTGGAAGCTTTCTGTGATGGAAAAACCAACTGGCTCTCACCTGGAGCCGTCTCTCCAGGAAGGCGTTTCCTCCTTTCGGCCCGTAGTAGTGTTCATATGGGTAGCTCCAGTCGCGAATCAGAAACATCAGAGACTAAAAGCAACAAACGCACCGTGAGAGGAAAGTGGGACAAATATCGTGCGGACGGTGGTCTGAAACAGCCTCTACCTGGAAGGGTTTCAAGTAGATCTCCTCCATTGCCAGCCGGCCATATTCCGTGAAAAGCTATGTGTGAAAAATAAAGAAAAGTTCCGATTAGAAAACGGCGTTGAGCGTGACGGCTGCCTCTTTCTCCTCAGCGGGAACGACACAAACCTGCAGATGCTGCAGGTCGTCCTCCTGTATGTTCTGGGAGAGGTTGTACACCTGAAAACAAAGAGGCAGGCGCTGCGTGAGTGGAACCCTAACCAAAGCGAGCAACGTCTTCCGCACCGGGACGCGCGTTTAGAGTCACCTGCACGGAGCTGGTCATGGTGCTGAGGGCGAACACGGTGGCACAGTCCTTGATGGTGGACTGGCTGTCGAACGCCCCCTGCGTGTCCACCAGGAGCACAGCCACCTGCGAGCAGCAGCCAGAGGAAGTCAACTGGGAAAAGCTCACCGACGGTGTCCAGCGTTTGCCGGCGTGTTTCGGACCGCCTACCTTGCTCCCGTCGGGCTTGTCCACCACAAAGACTTCACTCCAGACCTGAATGCCGGTGGTCTCCCTCTCACAGCCGCCCCGCCAAGAAAACCCGGTCAGGGGATCATCGTCGCCTCCCATCCATGTGTCGTCCTGCTCAGAGGAGGATGTAAATATCAGGAACAGGAGAGAAAATGGAGATTAGCAGGAGGCTGAATTTGAATGGGGTGAGAAGGCAGATGAGCAGTAAAATTTGGAGGGCAGATGAGGGGAGGGAGCAGAGATAAGAAAGCAGGGGGAAGGGAAAACTGATGGACTGAAGTCCAGCAGCATACAGCACAGATGAGCAGACAGGAGGGCCCACCAGCTCTCAAAAAAGCCTGTGTGATGAATTGCGTACGATATGTGAAGTTTAAATAACTTCACACATTCCTAAAACCCCTGAATCAATGCCGAGGGGGAAAATTCATCCTCACATTAAGAGGAAAACAAACTAAGACTCCAGTTTGGCTGAAGTCATAAATCAGATCAGGTTTATCTATAAAGCAGATTTAGAACCAGAGTCCAAAGTGCTGTGAACTGAAAATCCTCATGCGTGTACACGCTGTAGTGGGTTCCAGTACTTACACCAGTGAACAAATCACAGTGCAACGGGAGATCGGTAAAAGAAAAAAGCCCCCCCTCACTTTAAACAACATCACACAGGACTCTTCCACACTTTGACCTTGTGTTTGTAAGGTGAGCTGCTGAAGTAGGAAATGCAGCTTTTAAAACAAGTAGCTGACTTTGAAGGCAAGAGTGCGGCCTCTAGTCCGCCTACGACCCGACGGCCAAGTAAAATAACCATCGCTACAACCGTCATCTGATCTTTAAAAAGACCTGCAGGCCGTGTGCCGGCGGGGCTGCTTAATTCTTATTGTAACATTAACCATCAATGACAAACGGCATCAGCGCGAGCACGGTCGCGGAGATGGGCTCGTAACGTTCCTCTAATTTTTTTGTTTGTGAGTGAAAGGTGATCCTGAAGGCCTCTGTGTCCAGCTGTCAGAGGATCTGAAGGACGCGTTCAGCAGAAGGAACAACAATGCTGCCTCCAAGTTGCTTTGTTCTTGGAATATTCTGTATCACATTAACACACGGACGTAGATGTGCCATGTTTTTTAAGATTGGTGTATTCACCTGACAAGCCCCCAACAACAAATTTTAATTTCCCTTGCTCAGCAGGTTACAACCACTCTGAGCAAGGTCTGATTTCTGACCCAGGATTCATATCTTCCTCCTCAAGTTCAGCAGCAATCTAACTGGACTAACTGCTCCTCTCCACAGGCGAGCGCCGGCTGTTATCTCATGTGCTGTACTTGTTCGAGGAGCCCACCTGTTTTTACAGCCTCTGCTGACAGCAAGTGTTACACAACAGTAAGCCCCAGTGGGAGGATGAACTGTCCTGTGTTTGCTTAGCAAGTGTGAACACACCCTCGGAGGGGCCTTTCAGAGTTCGAGATCCAGTGAAGGACTTCTTCTGCTGGACTAGTTGAGACAGATGGCACGGATTTGATTCGGTTCAGTCATGCGTTACAGATTGAGACTTGATGCTCCTTCCTCTTAGAATTTGACATATTTAAATGGAAGGCTGATACCCAGAGTGACTCTCGGCCCACCTGACGGTGCATATAGCGCAGCATGAAGTCCAGCAGGAAGGACTTCCCTTTGCGAAAAGCCCCAGCCACGGAGACAACCACCACGTTCAGGTCTTTCACGTGATCCTGCAGCAGGATCTTCTCCAGGGCGGCGGTGTCCAGCTCGAAGCTGTGCTCGTCCTCGTGGGTCAGCACGATCTGAATGGGCCGGGCCTTTTCTTCCTCCAACTGAACCTGAAGACGAGAGCTTGCAATCAATCAGGGCTTTTCCTGATATCGAGAGAGGCTCGAATGGTCGCTGACAGAGCAGGTTTCAGAGTGAAGGAACTGAAAATTACACAGCTGACACAAGCTAACAAACCACCACACACGCACACTCAGCAGCACTGTTACCTGGAAGATTATTTTAAAGAATTGAAACGTCTCGTAAATGTACAATGCAAATATCCTTTCTATGGCAAAAACAGAGTGAAGAGTGAATAAAACCATGATTTTCTTCACTGATCTAAAGAGACCTGCATTATTTTCTTAAAAGAAACTGACTCTTTTGGTAAACCTCGTCCAGCTGATAAAGGCTAACTGAAACTATCCTCATATGGTCAAAGTGATTCATTTGTTGAGGCCATTAAATGATCCTAAAATGAATCACTTTTGTTTTTTAGTGGAACACAAAAAAAAAAAAAAATTGTTTTACAGTGCAAGAAAACAAACACCTTTTCAGCGTTGGAGATAAAAAAAAAAAACAGGCTAGAACTTCACCTTATCTTCTTCAATTCCTTCATCTGGTGACGGGGTGAGGCTGTCATTCTTGCCGAAGTTGGACATCATGGTGTGCGGAAGCAGCTCCTCCTCCAGGTCTTCAGGTCTGGCTAAAGGTGGCCTCTTTTTGTGCCTGCAAAACGGGACATTTTCCACCCCACTAAAACCTAAAGAAAACAGCACAAAGTAGGAAGGTTAAGGATATCGTTACAATGGTACACCGGCTGTGAGGCAGCCAGTGTACGAGGACGCTTTGTTTATCTCAGGAAAATGGCAGGTTTGGGGGCGTGAAGCAGAAGGTGAAATGACCTATATGGAGCCGAGTGCAGATGGGAATCTCTCCAGCTTTTCTGTGCTGGACTAAATACCACTATGCACTCTGGACTTCCCATCTAGGTCACTCAAAAATAGCGTTCCCTAGAAATTCACAAAGGGCCAGAAAAAAGGATGCGAGTTAAGTATGTCACCAGGACAGCATTTTTACGTTTTCCTCTCTGATTTCGACCTTTCAATGAAAGTGTTCCCCTAAAGTCGGAAGCAGGCTTCCTATAAAATACAAGCTTTCCCCCTGAGTCAGTCGCTTTATTCCAAGCGTGGTGACTAAATATTATGATGTGTATCAAAATTACTAGAAAAGTAAAAAATACCCTGATTTATTCCGACCACTAATTAGAATTAAAATATAGTCACGCTGTAATCATGTGAGGGGAAGTACATAAAGATGTACGCACTGTTGAGGTGGAACTGTACCAGGAAAATTAATTTTCTGCACTAAACCTCTTAATCTCATTTAAAATACGCATATCACACCCACACCCGGTTTCTCACTTCACAAAAAGCAAGAATACTGGTACAAGACTAGAAAAATGGCACTCCTTCAAATAATATACATTACTGAGAGAGAGGATCCATGAGTCATATGACTGTCAAGTTTCCATCAAACAGGTTAGACCACAAGTATTAAATCTTTCTTATTCAACACTGAAGAGAATGAAACTGCTTAGAGGATATTTTTCACCAACCAAATACTTGGACCCAAATGAATTAATATGCTTAATATGAATCGTGTGAATAAGAGCTGTACAGAAAGTGTAAAATGCTGCCGTCAGCACGACTCTGCTTCACAATCACGCCAAAGAAACGCCAAACTCCCTGTAAGAAGCTAGAAGAGCAATCACGTTTCTGCCATTTGAAAAACTGGCAAATTTCACAGCATGAAGATTTTATAGAACCCTACTGTTGATTATTTATGTCAGACTGTTTTGTTGGAGACTGAAATGTCTTTTGGATAAATATTTTCCATTTACTTTAAAACTGGCTCAACAATATACCCAACTCCAAGAAAACCAGCAAATTCATTCAGAACTTAAGACTGCAATAACCACCATAAATCCTTTCACAGGTAGTTAAGGAGCAGACTCTAAGCTCTTACGCCATATTTCACCAAATAAAAGAAATGTAAGTGGGGCATCCAAAGATCAACGTGGTGTGGCCGCAAAGGGCAGCAGCAATGTCGGGCTCAAGGCAGTTACTGTAATCTGCTCTGCACACAAATGAGGCCTGAACAGTTCCTCCGTCTGTGGCCTGGCAGGTTCTCATCAAGTCCAGGGCAGCACTCAGTAAAATGAAGTGGCTCAGGCTGCATCCATAGAGGGGACTAGCACAAAGACGCTATTCTGCTGGGGCAGCGAGAAGAGTCCGGATTGCAGCAGAATGCAAGTGAGAAAGAAAAAAGGAAAAACAGCGAGACACATTAACAGCTGCTGATAGAAGCATAGCAGCCACCGTTAACGACAAAGATTAATGCACTCAGAATAAAACAGGGCCAGAGCAAAAATGAGCTATTTTCCTTCTTTTCTTGCAGCTCCTGTGAACAGATGTTACTTGGGCAGCATGTTCAAAGTTACCAAGCGATGAGACTAGATAGGCATACATAGAAGAAAGCACAGCACACAAACAGACTCGTGTACCAACCATCTACTGCATCCTTCAGTCTCTGATGATGACCCGGCTTTAAATAAACAAACCAAGGGCTGCATGTTTCTACGCAATTCAGCCTACATATCAGCTCCGTGTCCAAATCGAGCTCTCACCTCCCTCGACTCCTGGACTATATCTGAGACAGTTTTTTTTTTTTTACTAAAACATGTTCCACTTACGATGATCATCTCTCTGAACAAGACAGATTTTATTACTTACATGGGGAATAACATTTGACTAGAAGAACAGCAAACATTGGCTAAAACTGCATTATAAAGCACAACTAGAAATCCATATTGTCCTTAATTTTCACTTCTTAGTTAATAAAAACCTGACACAAATATTCTGAAACAGGCAACGGTTCGAGTTGCCAATCAAGGTGCGGGTACACCAACCTCCCTGCAAGCCGGTACCAAAACCTAACCCGACTCGGCCTCGCTGGACACGAGTCAAGAGGGTGAAACGTTGAGATGTGCAACAGGCAAACCGACCGGGACAAAGTGCAGATTAAGAGCGGGAACAGTTTGTGAGTGTTGTTGTCACAGAGGCAGCCGGGCTGTAGGAAAGCACACATAGAGGTCATTATGATAAAGGGCATGCTCGAGATGAGCCAAGCACTGTCTTGCAGACTGAACTGTAAAGATGTGCTTTGACATCTGTTAAATTTCCTCCATTTGCAACAGCAGATACAAACTACGCAAGGGCTGCGACACCAAGCTTTTGAGAAGAACTGACAATCCCTGAAGCCAATCTTTAAATTAGTCCCGTGCAAATAAAAACATCTCTACAAGCGTGAAAAACCACTCAAATGATTTATCACGTAAAAACGTAGTTTGGGACACTCCTGAAATGAGTCCAGTGGATTGTGTTCAGCGGTCAGAGACACACTGCCCTCACACTTAAGCTGCCAGTGGTTTACTTATCTATATTCATTTTAATCACTAACTGTTTCTTTCTGAGTTCAAAATGCACACCTTTCTCCCAATTACGTGATTAGTTCTGCTGACAAACTGAACAGACTAATAATAGAGGATTCAAAAATACCCCGGTCATTAGTGGGATGAGATTAGCGTATCGTTGCACGCTTTACAGGAGCAGCTAAAGATAACTGTTTCTCTAAGTTAAGAACAAACTGCATGCGAAGTATATTTGGCCTGCCTCAGCAACTAGATTAAGAGACAAAGAAACGCAGAGAAGCAGGCGGTTGTCCACGGGCCAGCCAGGTGAAAGTGACGGCCCGGACAAATGAGCCGACAGGTGCCCAGAGTTATTTTGTATCCGGGTCAGAGTCTGGCGCGGGCAATAATTATTCTGTCCATTACCGTGTGGGAAACATTTCAAATAGTAAAACCACAGACTAATTACTTGTGCCGCGTGATAACTGTTTTTATTCGGTTTTACCAGCATTTTAACGCCTCCCCTAAGTACAGGGGTCCCACTCTGGCAGGGGCACCACACTTCACCGGACACCGCAGTTCTCCAACTGAAAACAGAAGCTAACGGAAAAGCGACCGAGACTGAGACCCCAGAAAGCGGCGCTTTGCGTTCAAACCCTCCCACACCAGCCACCCCGCGTTGGCTCGCCATAAGAAATAGAAGCAACTTTTATTTTACCTTCATCTGGGTCTCGGCTTTTGCTGTTGGGCTCGAAGTGATTTTTGCTCCTCAGCCCGCTCACCTCCGCCATCTTGGAATACTGAAATCTGACGTGGCTGACGTCAAAGGAGCTTTTTTCCCTCTTCCTCCTCGCGCTGCCTGCAGAAGTGTGCCCGCCCCGCGGGTCCAGCAGCCGGGCCAAGTAGAGTCCCCTCACGCGATGAGTTTTTAAAATGCCATCTCTGTGTATATATACACATACATATATAGGTGGAAGTGTGGACCACCAGGGGACTGGTGGAGGCAGGAAACTGGCCATTATGTGTGTGTTTTCTTTCTGTAATTGTACGGCTTTTCTGTTGACGTTGCGAAAAGTTTACAGTCAGCAAATTGGCTACACATTACCTACACAGTACTTTTCCCCAGTCCCAGTTCAGACTAAAGATAAACAGATGTGTTAATAGATACATATACGTGAATTTGGTGCTAACTTACTTGTTTTGCACCACCTTTAGTATCACACAGATTGTTAATAGGGTTACATTTTTGTCAAAATTAATACAGCGTGGAAAACAAATGAAAAAGATATTCATCTGAATTTAAATTTAAAGTCTAATATGTAAATGTCACCCATGATGCCCACGTGGTCAGTTTCCTGTGACCCCAGAGATGATTTGATTTACCAATTATGTCTTTTCTGGAGACCTAAGCAAACCATAGCTGATTGACTAGCCTCATCTTTTGCCCGTCCATTTATTTAAATCTATAGTCTCAGTTTAATTTAAGGTTTCTTTTTTCCAAAAGGCACAAGCACTTACAAACTGTGTCTGTACACACATACACTAATGACCCTTAAGGGTTAAACCACCTGTTTCTTGTTAAAGTCCCCACAGAAAGATTGCATTAATAACTTTGAGATGCCTGTTACTTTTCATCGCAAACTTATGCGGCACGTTGGTACTTCGTATTTATTATGAAACCAAATATTTAAAAATCCTACCTATAAAATATATTTCATATGTATATATTATATATATATTTTTACATATGCTTTATGGTTTCTCTAACTTGGTTTTATTTGTCCAACGAATTTCCATCACTACTTCAAAAGTGGCAGTTTTGAAATACGTCACATCCTTTTCTATATTTACTTACTCTCTTTATTACCTTATCCTGCTCTTATGTTCATTACTAATCTTGACAAAGGTTAAGTCTTTTATCAGGCTGCATGCTGTAAAGATAAAGCATATCTCCTGTGTTTGGTTGGATATTGATTGTATGACACAGCAGAGAAATTTTGCTCTCTGCTTTCTGGTTTAATGGTATTTTCCCAGCTCTCATGCAGACAAAAAGCCATAAAACTCATTTCCTCTGTGGAGGAACTCATCTCGTGTGTTTACCCAGCTGCTCATATCCAGCCTTTCAGACTGACATTGTGGAAAGGCTTGGTGCTGACACAGATGCAGAAATAGGAGTGCAGATTTTGCTCAGGCCTTGTAATCCGGTGACACATGCCATTCACTGGAGTGAGCCTGCTGTTCAGTTAGCTGTTGGATGATTAGAAAGTTATTGGATACATTTGAATTAAACAGCTGTCCAAATTGTTGTTTGTGCAAGTATATTTGCTTTTGTAATGATTTTCTTTTGTTAAAAAACGAAATCTTAAGTATTAAAAATGCTTTAACATGGTCCACTCTAAGATATTTTAAAAAATCATAATGGCAAATGCAACAATTCAAACAAATAGTATACACAAATTTTTCTTATGGAAGCATGTATATATTGCTTAGTTTAAAGAAGATCCAATTATTCCAAAGGTAAGAAAACGTAGAATACGTTGGGGCTGTAATTTTGTGCAAAACATCTCAGTCCACTTTAGAGGACAAGCGGTAAATGTAGCTTCTCAGGCGCTTCTTACAGGTAAAAAAAAATCACTATTCGAGCAACAAATGGACTATGTAGCAGTAAACTGATTTAGAAAAAAACAAAACAAGGGAGCACATTGCAAAGGCCCATACAAAACTTAACAACAGCCTCTGATGTAATTGCATCAAACAAACCCAATTCCAACGAAGATTGTGTAAAACCCGAAAAAAACAAAAGGATTACACGGATATCCAAATCCCCTTTTAACCTCTGTTCAATAGGTCTCTTTAAATTCAAAATTAGGGGATAAAGAGGTTTATAATTATATCATTTTAATAGTTAACACAGTGTCTTTACAGAAAATTCTATTAAATATGGCTTGAAAAGTACTTGCAAATAATATGTTTGCATTTCACGCAGCACCTAAACTGAGTAATGAGGTCTGTAAAACGAGGTCAGGCTGCTGTTGACACTGGCCTTGGTTTGGTCTGTTTGCACTGCTCACAGAAGTTAAACACGCTTTCACTGGCTCTCAGCTTATCTTAGTACCTACTGGAGCAGGCTTTTGGAGAAAGTAATCAAATGGCTTCTTGAAACTCTTTACTCTGATGTGACCAAAGCTCACAACATGCAGACGTATCAGCGCTGTAATCAGAACAGATGGGACGGATCTAAAGTGTCCCAGTCCTGTAAATGAGGAGGACAGGTTTCAGTTTCCTTGCTGAGACTGGGGGACCTGACGGTGTTGTTGGGTCACCCCTCCTTTTCCTAGGGATCCCCACATATCCAGGAGATCCTGCTTCATCCCTCTGCATTACATGTGACATTTTGTTGTCACTGGAGGCGACTGACTTACCTCTCCTGTGGACACCCGGTTCAAACTAAATTTTTTAATGACAGCTGTAAACAAGTTTTGCGACGGCCCACTTTAAAATTGAGAGCCATCAATGTAGACTCTATATTGTAGAGGGTAAAAAGACATACAATATGGCAGAATCTCTCTAACATAGAGTCAATGCTTTGTCTTTTGTATTTTTTGGCATCATTAAACCCCCAAAGCTCCTTTCTCCTTACTGTGTATTTGATTAGCATGACAGCCGGTATTCACCCTCAAGCCTCGTATTACATTTCAAAATATCAGGTTAGCGGTAAAAGACAGGGTCGAGGCACACAGGGAAGGAGGTTCATGGCTGTAAGAGTGACACATGGAAAATGATTGCTTTCTTAAATGAGTGGGAACCAGACCTGCCGTGTTAATCTGTGTCTGTGCTATTCTTAGCCAGTGCAATCGGCCAGCAGAAATACGAGAAACACACGTGTTATGATGACAAGCTCAGATAAATTTAGAGACAGGAGGCCAGAGAACACAGTGACGAACTCCTGACCAATGTTGACCTCCAGATGTGCGGACTGTATGTTTTTACTGAATGGGTACACAGATTAAATGTATAGGAATGGGTTCCACTTAAGTATTGTTTTGAATGTAACAAAATATTTGTTTTGTTTTTTTGTCTTCTGCCTTCTATTAAATCACATTTGAAAGGCAGCCTTTTGCTCTTTATAATTCACAGAAAATTTACAAAAGCTATACATTTTCAGTAGACTGACTAAACCCCAAGAAAATGTACAAACTGACCAGAGGGCATCCTCTAGTGGCTTTAAACTTAAGTACAACTCACAAGTCGACTGTTACAGTGTTAAAATGTAGGAGCAGATTATTATCTCACAGAACCAAAGCTTTCATACTAATCACTTACAAGCAGCACGGCTGGAAGGAAGGGCTTATTCTGCTGAAATGCAGAGAAATCCTCTTCTGTGTCACTCTCTGAGTCCCTTCATTTAAAGTTTTTATTCAAAGTGAAACCTACAAACATTTAATTGGCGGTCCTCATCAGATGAAGAAAGACAGAAAAAAAATGGCATCACATGGCTCCTAGTAGAATGATGGTATTTCTCAGTCATAAAGCCAACATCTGTCCCTCCTTTAGTGCCACGGGTTTAGTGTCAAGTAAACCCTCCAAATGCCCATTCCACTATTATTTCAGTTTATAGAAGTTCATTAAATTAAGATTGTACAAAGACAAACAGCTAAATGCTTTCATATATTGATTTAGATTAGTTTAGATTGTCAGGGAAATATAAAATAATGCTTTATCAAGCTTAATATGTTTACTCTTGGCCCTTTTTTGTAATTGTGTTACTAAAAAGTTGAATGTCAGGCCCTGACTATTAAATTAATGAGTGTGATTCTGATTAATAATTGTGGATATCCATCCATCCATTTTCTTAACTGCTTATTCCCAGTTGGGGTCGCGGGGGAGACCGTAGCCTCTCCCAGTAGTCAATGGGCAAGAGGCAGGGTACAGCATTTGCCAGTCCATCGCAGGGCCTAATGGTGATGGTGATTAGTAATTAGTAATTGTAGATTGTGACAATTGAAAAATACAGAACATATGACCACTGACTAATAAAGAAGACCAAATTTAAATAAACACATTTCTATTGGCCAGTTTTTTCTCCAAATAGCACTTTTCAATATGTTTTGTTTCTGTATTTGAGGATCCATTCAGATGTTATTTGTGTTTAGAGAGATGCTACTTCAATGAATAAAGATGATGAAACGTCTCATCTTTTGTCATCAAATTATTTTACCCATTGTCTAAATATGATTTTTTTTAACAGGACCCACTCTGTAAAAAAGCCTGATGAAAGCAGCAGTTCCGGTGCTTCCTGTGAAAATTATGCTGAGGTTTGAGTGTCGATTGCTACCACATGGTGGCAGCATGGACTTAGTGGACTCGTTACACCCTCAGCAGCTTTACCAGACTCAACAATGTGAAATCTAAATAGAAAGAATGAGAGGCATCACAAAATAATTCACGCCAGCAGACTTTTTGTGGTCATAATTGTCTGTCTGTCAATGCACTGTAACCTGAGGCCAAAATGCATCTTAGATTTACTTTATATTCACTGTTTCCTTCACAAACAATCACAAATAAGCCACTACTACATTTGCTCGAAAAAGAAAATTAAGGATATTCACTTGTGTTCTTTGTTTATATTTTCCTCACTTGTTGTACTGTTATATAAAATGTGAAGATGAGTTTCGATACCAAAAAGTAGTTGCAGTTTTTATAGAAATCTGCCAACTCTGCCAAGATTTGAGTGTTTCGTTTGGCCGTGTGAAAACAACAAGCAATTTTAGCATCCTTGAAGTTGAGTATTCAGTAATAAGGAAGCCATGTAATAGTTTATTTTTTACTGATTTAATCTTTTTTAAATTATTTTTTTAACATGATAAACCACAAAGTTATTGTGACATCTCTACACAAGTCT